CTAGGTAGAAAGGATCCTGTGTCTATTTATAGCACTGCCTTCAACAGCGTAGGAATTCAAAGGAAAACTCCAACTCAGCACAGTCTTCTTATTATCTTCTTCTGTCAAGATTAAATCAGAGCTGAGATCATTCCCTTCCCCTGCAAATCCATGTTAGAAAGGATCTGTTCCTTTCTGCAAACTAAGGAGCTACAATGGTACAAACCACTTCAGAGCTCATATGGCCTGGGAGTCTTCACCCAGCTGAATGTCACCTCTTTCCTCTTGTTAGTCAGAGGAGGGGGAGGAAAAACAGCCTCACTGCCTTAGCAGGGAAAACCTAAGGCATTCCACTCCACCTGCTCTGCATCCCTGCCCTTCTTACCATCGCCAGCCCTTCCCTTACACCAGATGCTTAGGGGCACTTGTAAATAACAGGGTATCATTATACCAGCATCCCAGCAGTGAGGGGAAGAGGAACAGGGTCCTTGCACACGATCATGGTCACTCATGATGTCGGCAACTGAGATGAGGCCCTTACACTACAGGGGTATGTGCCCTCTTGCCACTGCAGGGCCACCCATCTCGGGAAGGATTGGGCTCCAGTAGGTGTGTGTGGCACCTATTTATCAGTAGAAATTAACTCTGATGTTAAGTGTACAAATGAGAGCAGCCTTGGAAAATGTACTAGCAAAAAAACTGACCACCTCTCTAAAAATAAGACAGGCTCCTGGAGCTCCTTATCTCCACTCTCAGCATCATGGTGTCCTAGATCTTTCCTTCTCATCTTCCACCTTCCCGTTTCTCTTTAATAAGAGCTGCTCTTACATTCTCCACAAAGCACTATCTACTCTGCTCTCTTGGTATTCCTCTTCTGTAATTCTGTTATCAAGCTGTCTGCTAGGTGGGGAGCAGAAGGTGCAGGACTTGGTACTGCCTTTGAGGAACAGGTAATTATTATGTGCATCTGTTATAGTGGTTTCTGCCTCAACAGGTGGAAAACATGCTGTTCTCTGATGGATTTGCAGCACTCTCTGCTCCTGCCTTGTCTTTTCTCTGAAGCCAAGAGTGTGGTGTTCCTAAAATAATAAACACAGCCTCACTGCTGCCACGAAAACCCCTGGTAAATATATTTTTATGGGAATGAAATATTAAAGGATTTGAACAGTTATTCACTGAAGGCAAAATATGAGCAGTAAGGTTGGGTAAAGATTCAAAGGCTGGTTTGCTTCCTTTCCCTGGGGCACATCAAGGCTGTACTGTTTGCACTTTAGAGATGGATAGAGGGGAATTACTTAACCCAAAATGATGGAAACAATTCAAACTATAATAATATAGCATGAGAGTTTCTCACATTACACCTATTCCCCATACTGCTGGCTATATTCTGCCTTCAGATTCACGTGCACAACTCTCACTGGATTCTGGAGGAACTGTATTTGAAGCCAAAATGCATTTCATTGTCTTTCTGAAGTCTCTCTGTGGTTTACTTCCTAAATCCTGAGCTCAAGGACTGGGGACAAAACTTGTCTAAACATTTCTCAGAGTCTGTCTCTGTGAGATTCCCATCTGCTGTGTTTTATTTTGAATTTCATCTTCCTACTTTCCTGAAAACACAAAGCAGAAACACACGTTTCCTCTGCCCTGGAGTGCAGGAATCACCAAATTTCCCAGCAGGTTTTCTCACAACATATGATAGATCCAAGTTTGTCTAAAAACGCTACAAGCCGTTTGTGGAGTAGAAAGGGAGGAGACCATAAATGTGGGCCAAGTTTTGGAGTGTTATGAACACCCCCCATCCTCCAAAGGGACTCCATATCCTGTTTCCTCTCCCAGAAATTTCACCTGGCTGTGGGTTTCATTAGGAGAAATACACATTGCTCCAGTCCAGGCTCTAAGTCTTCGGTTTGTGCTTCCTGCTGACACTGCAGAGACTGTGAGAGCCGCAAAAGCCGAGTCTGACCTGGAGGCTTCACGTTTACTACAATAGTAGAGCAAATTAAATGGAGAGCACGTTAAGCGGGTTGGGAGATTGTTGTTGACCAACAAATCTTCATTAAGGTCCCACACCAAGCTGTGTTGTACCTCCAATGGAACTGATTACTGTGTCTCCATCTGTGTTTCAACTATTTCTCCACCAGGCCTTAAAGAAATTCAAACTTGCTTTAGGTCTAGGTCTAATGAGAAATAAAACACCATATTAATCCACCGTCCTCCATGCGTGCACCCAGGTTGGAGGTGCCAGTGTATTATTCAAACAGACCAAGCTCTACTCTGTTCACCACCAGGTATTTACTGCTCTGGGTTTTGCTAGCTCTTTTATTTACTGCTAGCGTTTCGCAGAGACTTTGTTCACTGTTTCATGGGGACTTTCTGGATTGCTGGTTTGCATTACCAAAGACAAAATCTGAGCTTGATTCCTGGCACTGCACTCCAGACATTTCAGCTCAAGAGCCACCAGTGTGAACACCAACAGTTCATACGACTCACACCTCCCCACAGCAAAGCCTGTGCTCGGCATAACAGCAGCTTTTACAGGATTTAGAGCAAAACCCTTTTCTGATATTCATGATGGAAGGGAGGCTGCCACAACTAGGGCTTCTGACAGCCTTCCCCACAGGCCACTACTAGAAGTACAGCTCCACTGTTAAAACTCAGGTGCCAAGCTACTCTGCTGTATGGGCTTTAAAAACACTGACCAATTTAGGCCAGAGAGGTTTGAGGAAAAGGTGTAAGGGAAAGCAAGGGGAATTAAACAGCAGTATTGAGAGTTTACATAGCTTTAGCTTCTGCATTGTACATGCAGAGTAGGATCTTCTGCCATAGACTGCCCTTACCCTATATTAAGGTAACACACATTTATTAGGTATTTATCTTCTAAATATAAGGTAAGAAATAAAAGGTACATGCATAAATGAGGGAGTTAGCCTTCAGTATTATTCTTCGCCAGATAACATTTTTGGTGGGTAAACTATATGTTGGGCGTAGAGATTGGCTGTACTCCATACCATGTTGTCCTCAGGGTCAGCTGATGCTTGAAGAACACGGATGGGACTCACACTTTTCTGTATCAAAGAGAAGGCACTGATTATTTGGGTTTATGCAGCAGCTTCCCTGGAGCATGCAGATTGTTACTGTTCCTGGCACTTGGGTACTGCAAAGCAGCCTCCCCTTCAGAAATCTGCCTATTGCAGCCCAGGCAAGACTGAAGAGTGCAACCACAGCAGCTGCCTTCTAATGAGATCTGAATTATCTTTTGGCTAGTGGCTAATTGGTTTCTATGTTCTAGAAGAAAATGTGTTCTGTTAATTTTGTACCAGGTGATCTATGACATTTGGGAGCATGTATTTTAAACTGCTAGTTTGTTTTAGAGAAATGGTAAGAGTGAACCTAAAGGACAAATGATTGGAAACGCCTGTAATCCCAAGAGCTGACACAACTGCTGGGAAATTCTGGACTGCAAATCAGCTGTGCTACAGAATATGATGAGTTCCTATTTTCCCCCCCTTCAGCAGACTTAGTAGTGAGATTTTACAATGAGAAGAAAGCAATCTGCTTAGCTGAACTGGGATTTCATCTGCTTCCGTTGCATCTCTGACTATACACATCAGCAAGTAAGTCTCAGCTCTGTTCAGTCTCAGTCTGACCTCTGTACTAGCTTGATTTATTGTTTTTAGTTCTCAGATAGTATATTACACTATACCCCAAAGGGTCTGATTAGAGCTGGCCCGTATTTTAATGATTTATGAGGGGCATCTGGGATTGTGTAGCATACGTGTTGTGTCACTGCTGTAGGAGGAATCTGCATTGATCATACCAGCATGCTCCAAGACAAGAGCGTGTCAAATTCCAATAAGCTTTACTTCACAAACCTGATTTGACAGGTGGCCAGGCTTGCACTGGGACTGACCATAGTTCTCATGGTGGGAATAAAACAAAACAGCTGGATTGCCTCTAACCATTGCATTATGAGAGGATTTCCATTACTTTCTCTTGTTCTATTTCTATCTTGCAGTGCTTAAGGAGGTGTTTATCCTTCCCAGTTCTGTAGCCAAAAAACCTGGGCAACAGGAGCTTGCTATCAGCTCTGTGGTTTATCTTTCTGCCAGAAGATACTGGTGAGAAATACAGGCTACTGAAACTAGTCTTATAAACCTCTCCAAGTCCTACCATGGCTATCACATTGCTAGAAAGGCTCAGATCAGAGAGGCTGGGATGAGAGAAAGAAAGATGAAGAAACAATTAGAAAGACTGCAATTGTTTTTAAGCCATAATGTCACTTCATTTAATAAGGGATTGTGCTACTTCTTCATTTAGGGTATCTCTAAAGAAGGACTTTGCAAGCACTGAAAGAAAGGTATTAGAAACAGAGCACGGTGATACAGTTTCTGTGTCCTTGGTTTCATTTTTCATGTTCTGAATTCTGTTTTGAGCTCTAAAGCCAAAAGCTGCTGAAACATTCCTAGGAAACCTTGTCCCCCAGCATGAAAATCCAAATATGACCATGACTTTCACCACATAATGCAAGCTGCCCTTGAGTTGTTGGAGGTGGCCACAGCTTTGAACCCAAATTAAACTTGAGGATGACTCCCTGCCCGGGTTCAGCTATCACTAGCAGTGTTTGGCAGCACCCTGCCCCTGGGTTGCCTCCCAGCTTAGACTTGTAGAGAGATATAGAAAAATCACTTATCATTTCCACCTGTGCAGCGGGAACAGAGTGTCTTCCTCACAGGCTCACTGTGATAGCATCTATAAAATGCATTCCAGTGCTCAAGAAACACCATGGAACCATGGCTGCCTACCTCCTGCTGTTCCCCTATCTCCTTCCTAGCAGGTTACTCAACCCTCAGGCTATACAGGCATAGGGATATGTGTCTGCTTGTCTCCTGTAAGTTGGGTAGCATAGAGCTATCTTTGTGGTGCTCGCAGAGACCCCAGGACAAGAACAAAGAACAGTGAAGCTGCCAATGCCCCCAAACAGAATAGACCCCAGAAAAAGGCACTGTATTGTTTTTAAGCTAGAACAAATCAGAGCCAGCCACAGGGGAGGAGGGCTTTGCGTTGTGCCATCCTTTTGGTTAAAACTGGGGGGCAGAAACCATTTATTTGTGCTGGGATTCTTTGAATTCTAAAGATTGATGTTATCAGCACTGTGCTGGAGGACACTGCTACATTAGCTGTTGTTACAGCACCCTCATTCACCTTCAGATGTGGCCTGCTAAACGCTGGTGGGAGCACAGGACACCAGCCTAAGGGACTGCATTACAACAATGGCTCTGCGCAAAGCACAGGACAGGAAATCCTTGGTCTCTGCTGAAGCAAGAAACAAACATGATTTCTGCCTCAGACCATTTTGAAGGTGACCTGGGAAAATTAGATCAGGCCACACAGAGTAAGCCTGAAGAGTAAAACCACAGCTGAGAGGCTGGAAACAGCACACAAGCAACATACTGCCCTTCTCTCACTAAGCTAGGTGCAGAGTGCCCAGCAACCCATCCGTGGCTTTCTTGTGTTGCGTTCAGTTGGAACTCAGATGTGTGGATCGACACCCCTTGCAAAGTAGACAGTATGTGAAAGAGTGTAGTAGTAGGGCTCTTTTGGCAGCTGCAGTTTCACCCCAAACAGCCACAGAGAGGGAGCAGAGAATGTACCCTGTGGTGTACAGCACGAACAGGCTCCGCTTCCCACACAGCGACAGTCCTGAGGCTGAAATGCATCACCGCAAATGTGAGCCTCCAGTCCACTGGATCTGCTTCAGAGAAATAGACTCAGCACATTTCAGCCAATCTGTGAATAAACCCAAGCTTGTACCTCTCCGCAGGGTCATGCTGTACTAACATCATCCAGTAATGAGAGCACCATACGCTCTCTGCAACTGCAGGCTGCAAATATTGGGAAAGCATTACTAAAAGTCATGAAAAAGCAACTAGGGTTTTTGTTGTTCAGGGAGGGTGAAGGCTTTGGAGTGGCTGTACCAAAACACCAGTGTCGGCCAGACAGCCCAGCTGGTTACTGGCAGCTCCAATAGGAAATTAAAGGGGCAAACATTACTCCTGATTTACAGCAACCTGCATCAGCTTGCCAGCCTATCTTTCAGAAATGTTTCGGCCTTTGAGTTTTTCAGTAATCTTATGAAACTTCTGAGGCTGTTTCCAGAAGGAGACACAATTTACCCATTCAAATCATCCTGGCTTTTACCTTGGACAAGTCATTACTGGAGGTAGTAGAGATGCAGTGATCCTACAATCCTTGTGCCCAGTGCAGACAGCCTTAACACAGAAAAACTGAATTTTAGGCAAGCTCGTCTTCAAGTAGGAGCATAGGGGTAGCAAGAGTTTCTCATGAATGTAGCATATCCAAGAGCTGTTTAGTGCTACAATATGGTAAATGGGGATTCTTGTCTCAAGAGGGAGTGAAAAATATCAGTCCTGAATGGAGGAAGGAGTTACAGACTGTCAGAACGGATCATTGGTCAACTATGATGGCTGAAGTACATTGCAGAAGATGACACTAGCAATGATGTTTGATGTAAGGGCAGTAGCCTGGCAGGGAGCTAGAGAGATTCTCAAATTGGGCATGCTGTTGCAGTAACAAATAGCATGGAGATGTGGTAGATGGACCAGCTTTGACTGTCCTTGAGTCATACTACTGTCTGACTCATATGCAGTGTGTCTGATTCTTTACCAGCTCAGGTTGGGTTAATGGGTGTAAGGATGCACTTGGCAGCTGAGAACACAGGAGTACCCATCATCTCCAAAGGGACCGGTTTTGCAGCTGAACTTCTCTGCTCACAGCCAAAAGCCCCCACATCTTTGCTGAGACTAGGGCTGGAGGGGAACCGACTTCCCTTTGCTTGCTTGCCAAGAGCCAAGTTCAGGTCCCTTAGAGCTCTACAGTGCTCTCGCTCCAGCGGATGACTTCATGAACACCTACTGTCGGGAGGAACACAGCTCCCTGCATGGCTTTAAATGTTTGTGTTTCCCTGCATATGCCGATGACATCATTGCCACCTGAGGGCCCGAACTCTGGTCTTGGCAGGTAAAAGCCTTTCGGGTCACCTTACACTGGGGTTTTGCTTTAGATGCATATTTATGTAATGATTGCTAGATGGCTGTAATTACATGACTGTAAAGCACCACCTAAAATGCACTAGTAATAAATTCTTAATAGCTAATGCTATAACAAGCAGTTACAAAAAATATAACATGCAGATTGTTAACAGTGGCTAGGCCTGTTTAATGCTCAGTTTTAAATAGTTACAATGCACACTATTAAAATGGCATGTAAAATTTGTAACTAGTAAATAAAAAGTCCGATTCAGCAACAAAATACAATCAAGCTTCAGTGGTAGAGAAGCCACAGAAAAGCTTGGGGTGGATGAGGCATCTCCTCTTACCTACAGCACTCTTCTGGTGGTACTACTTATCAGCCATAGTTTCTGCAAAGCATACTGCATGTGCCCTTACATACTGCATTGTGTCCTCTCTGTCCTGCCTCAGGAACATGATTAGGATCCCATTTATATTACAAAAATGCAACTCTGTCCAGAAAACCCTTATTTTTGCATTCCATGAGTAAGGGGTCAGGGAAAAATCCATTTAGCTGCCCATAATTTTACCTTCTCTTACACAGTCAAAGCTGCAGTGTGGGCAATATCTCTATAGAGAGGATTTCCTGTGGCTAAAGAATAAAATAAATATATGTGCAAGACCCAGAAAAAATGAGCAAAATCAGCAGGTGGCCTGGTTTTGCACGTTTGGTACAACATTGCTGCACATGAAAGGATTGCTGCTTCTGTCCAGCCACCACCAGGAGCCACGCACATGGATGGCAAATACAAGTGTGCTAATCAGCTAATGACAAGATAATGTTTTATACTACAGTTACAGACAAAAATAAGGCCACCCTGCCTTGGGGCCTGCATGACGATGTACATCCTGAAAGAGTCAAGGCTCTTGCCTTGACTGTCAAGTAAGGTCTGAGCCCTGCTGGCTGGCCCACAGACTTGCTATGAAGAAGTTAGACATTTTTGAGGCTTCTGAGGCCTGGCAGCCTGGAACATCAGTGGAAGCTGTGGTAAGTTCAGCATATTTGAGAACCAGGATGGGCTGATTAATTTCTTCCTTACATCTGAGTAGTGCTTTGCATCAGAAATGTTGCTGCTGATTTGCTTGTGTGCCCCACAGAGGAAAATTCTACTTACACAGAGGAGAGGTGTCATGATCCCTCTTCCACTTAGGGCAGAAAATTTGGTACCAATGCAATACTGAGGGGGAAAACCCCTATCAGATAATTGCCTTTCCTTGTGCTCCTCAAAGTTTCCTGATACAGAGATTAATTTAGTATCCTCAGCACAGGTGCTGCATCATGGTCTGTTGAAAGGAAGTCTATCTAAATAGATTTTGCCAAGTCACACCAAGTGGGTGCCTTACCCTAAATGTATAGCTGGGTTAAAGTTGTGGGTCTGGAAGCCTCTACTAAATTTGGAAGTGCTGTTCAGATTACATCCTCCAGCTGCTGGAGAGATTTTCTTACAAACAGTTGGCTACTCAAATACTTCATGCCTCCCTGAAAACTGCTTCTATCTCAGCTTTCAAGTCCAGCCAGCCCTACCTCAGTCATAGCTGTATTTGATTCATACCATCTATATCCCAGAACGCTCCTAGCAATTGATAAATTATGGTTCCAGCGAGACTATCGGGTTAAACATCAAGGAAGAAAGAATGATGACAGTAATACTTGTCATTTGTGCAGAGATGTAGCAACACAAACCCTCTCTAAAACATATGTTATCTTGGAGGAATCTTTCCAAGGGATAGGCTTTCTGAGAAACATTTATGGCTTTTGAATGCGCGATAGCCATGAACTTGACATGACCTACTTTGGCCAAGCCCTGGGCTTCAGCCTGGTCTTTTACCACCACAAATCAGCCTATTTGAAGTGCAATCAGACTGATATCTTCACTGAGATGACAAGGTTACAGCACATACTGGCTTGGGAAAAGCAGGATGTAGAGCATATTGTTCTCAGGATTTAAAAATTCAGAAGTATTTTTACTAAAGCCAGAGGAAAATGGCTATGTTTTTACCTCTACGCAAAAGCCAATACAACGACTGGGATGATTAAAATATTCAATACATCATTGAAATGAAAGCACTGACATCCTTACATTATACTCAAATCCCTCCTTTATCTTGGCATTGGAAAATGCAAGGAAAAGCAGAGGATATAAAAGCATTCTACTAAATATCATAGACACAAGAGTTGGTTTTTCCTCCTGACTTCCCACAGCATCATACTCCAGGGCTTTGTGTCGTGCTATCTCACCCTTCACACCATTCTCTCAGTTTAATCTCATACCAGTATAATGCCAAACTGCCAAATTACACTGACTTTTGAGTTTGTTCTTCTTTAAATACTATGGTGTTGGAGAAGTTGAATAAAAGGTGGCACACGTTTTCAAGGACTGAGATACTGAGGCCCTTCCCTCAAGCACAGCACTGAACAGCACTTATGGATAAAGCTGTAGTCACTGAATAAACTGAAAAACAACCAAGGTGTCCACAATATGTGCAATCCACAGGGGCATTCACTGCTGGGAAGAGAAGAAGCCTGGACAGTCAGGAAGAAGATTCTCTCTGTGGCCTCTTACAGGACCACTTTCCTTTCTTCTTGTGTTAGTCTCCACTATAAGGAACCATTGACTTGGCTGCTTTCATAGCCTAACTACAGCAAAGCCACTAATGGGTTTCCAGAGAGGCAGCTACAGATGCAGGCATGGCACAGTGATATGTATGGCCTGTGTCATACTCTAGGTCACTGTAGATCAGCAGAATGACCTTCTGCTCTGTGATAGGCTTCTTTGATTGCTGTTCTCCTGCTAGTCATAATTAAGGAAATTCTATTACACAGTTCAGATACAATTACAGTTGTAGTACAAACCAATTCCAAATTAATCTAAATATAATGCTAAGATTTCTCCTACGTGATTGAATAATTACTGCAATACAACTCCAGTAGGGCAAAGATCAGGAACATTTCATATGAATATCATTCAGAAACTGGCATTTTAAAATTGTATTGCTCATTCATACGACACACATCACAGAAACAGATCCATTACAAAACGTGGATATAGAGGAATTGAGCTGAGAATCATTAAAAACATATTTAAAAATGAAGAACAACCACATTATTACATATAATCATTTTCCTTTCACACTAATTTGTTTTAATCTATTCATGCTCCTTATAAAACATTACACAAAATTTTAATCATAGCATTGTTTTCCTTAAATATGTGCATTTCAGTAAATGACACTTGCATGTATAAATTTAGTGAGTTAAAACATTAAGCTGGTGCTAGGACTGAGCAGTCATTTATTCAAGAAAAAATTGCCTTGTTTTCCTGTCTGTGAATTTTCTATGGAAAGCTATTATTTTTTTCAGTGTATTCATTATTCAACATATTAGTTGAATAGTCCTACAGAGACTTTTCTGCTTTTGAATCATTCACAGCCTGTTAGTTCCAATTATTTCACATTTGAAATCTGAACCCCAGTCCTTCCTTTTTATTGGACAGAGTTTACATGAACTGATGCTATTCTCCACGAATAAAAACAATGTGACCAGAATGCAGATTAGATGTTTTGTACATGGCATCAGCAGTTCACGTCTGTGTTTCAACAGGAGTAAATTTCTCAGCTATAAAATAAGATCAATGTGAGCACAAGCTGAAAGTCATCTAAGGACAAGCACACCTGTCTTATAAAGACCGTAATTCTACAACTTTCAATATCCAACAAACAAACAAAAACCCCCAACAACTCTGAAGAAGCACTTTTCCCAAGGTGTGCTATACCTCAGTTATCCACCCAGCTGTTACAGGGATGGAGTTATGGACCTGGAGAGCACAGCTCCCACAAGGGCAGGGCAAGTAAGTTGCTGCCTGTCCTTCCCCACCTGAACAACACAACATCGCCAGGGCTTTTGGGCAGTATCCATAAAAGTGTGTCTCCACTCCCATGAGGCTTAGGAAAACAAGGCTGACAGCAGCCTTCAGTCCTGAAAATCAAAGTATTTATACGGTGGAGAGGGTGAGTACTAAATAAGAGAAAACCCCAAAACAGTTGAAAGCAGTTTTGTAGGGAGTAAGTGCATGCCCTAGAGTGGTCATGAGCCACACTGCAAGGAATGAGATAGATACATCAAAAAAGGGGAATATTTGCTGCAGATATTGCGAGGTGGGAAGGAGGCTGTTATTCTTGAAAGTATTTAAGGAACTGGCAGATGGCCTTACGGACAGGACACAGGAAAGAGAAGTCCCATTTCTCCTGCAGACTTCCTGCATGGGATCAGAGGAATCATGCCTGAGATGACAGACACAGTAGAACTGGGGTGGTGAGTGTGAAATCAGCTACCAAAATCAATAGGAGATGTCCATTCCAGTATGGGAATTCCTCCATGCCTCCTCTTGTATAAAGCCATCCAAAATGGGCAAGAACATCTGCTTTTGTTTTCACAGTAAAAGCTGACACTGGAGGAGATATGCACATTTGGGAGGCAAGCGCATTCCACAGTGGAGCTTTTTGTAATACAAGCAATACAAAACTATCCTGGGAACATCATTATTTGGTGAAAGCTTACTGTATGTAAGAGGACAAGGCTGCCTGTGAAGGTAGCAGAACAATGTGTACCAAAATAGTAGAGTCCCTCTTGGCAGCTGGGCCTCAAGGAAAACCACCCCAAGTGTATAGCAGAAGGGTGGCTTCTAGTCAGCATTCAGTGGCCTAACACTGACACGACAGCCACTGCTTCCCTCCATTTCTGTGAGCATTTCAGGGACTTAGTTGCTCCATTTCTCTTTCAGCAAAACAATGCATTGGTATAAAGGTGCAATGAGCTGCCAGAGCAGGCTAGTTTCTCTCTTTGTGCATGCAACCCCAAGTTTTTTAGACAAAATTACACCAAAAGGTGAACTTTGGGCTAGCGAATGTACCTTGGTGGGAAACCAGGAAAACCTTTCACCACAGGTAGTTTGGAAAGAAATTGTCAGTAGAGGTGCTTGAACATGATAGAGATGTTCAGCAAAAAGATGGAAGATTTCAGGTTTGCTGTCCTGGACTGTTCTACTCCAAAACCATCCCTCTAATAATTTATGCAAAAGTCATTCAAGTAGACAGTTCCAGAGCAAGACTTTGATTCAGTGGCTACAACTTCACCCGTGTCCTAAACAGATGCTTCTGTTCTAAAGCTGCATGAGTTGATGGACTTCCTAATATCTCTGTAATGCAGATGCTTGACTAATGGTTAGAACATAGAAAAAGAAATGTTTTCTTAAAACAGAACTCTGGTAAAAATAGAATTTCTATTCCCCTCTTAAAAAATCCTCCCAGCAGTTCAAATCAATACGTAACACAAGGAACTACTATTTCAAAAGAAATGTCCCACATGGGAACAGACATAAACTGAAGCCTAAAAAAGTGGTTTTCCTTGCAACCAAAGCACTTATTTCAAGATCAGAAATGATTGCTTCTGGAGGGGGCAGAGAGGAGAGCAAATGAAACAACCTGTTAAAAAAGAAAGAACAGGTTAATGCTCATATGAATGGCAGCTGGAATCACTGTAACTTACTCATGTAGATCTTTTCCTACAATGAACATTGGTCATGAGGACAAGTATGGCTGGTAACTGCTACTGGAAAGAACCAAAATACATCTTACAGAGTTTCCCTGTTGAAGCTGACAACTAAGAGCTAACCAGTGAGTAAGATTTTGCATGACCAAAGGCTACATTTCCTGCAGCATTACCTCTTTGTACAGGAAAGCAGAACTCTCACACTGGCATATTGAGGGCTGGGCTGCTCCACTGCAATAACAACAGTGTCTACAATTCCACATAGTACGAACTTTCCCATTTTCTATAAAAAATATAATCTTTAAAAATATAATAATGAACTTTTAATCAAGAGTTTGTCATACCTAGACAGAAAAGTTGAGCAGTCAGGTCAAAATAAGCTGCCTTAGGCCTTGAGCCTCATAGTTTGCAAAAGCTTTTGCTTCAAATTTACCACAATAATGTGAAACCTTATTTTAGAAGCACAGGCATTGAAACCACAGCATGGGACTATGAGCCACTGGATTGTCATTGTGTAGATTGCAACAGTATTCCTAAGTCCAGCTGCGGCCTCTGCTGTGATAAGCTATCAATGCACAAGAGAAAGACACCATCAACCCCTGAGGTTGCCCTCTCACTTGCTGTGAGCCACAGTAACTGTGGGCAAGCTTTGTGAGGGGGTAAGGGAAGGCAAGAGGAAGAGAGGGCGGTCTCAGAGATGCCTCTAGCTTGTGGTGAATGTCTGCCCTCCACCCTTCAGGATGGCCTGGGACAGCCTGTGCAGAGAGGACTTGCTGCACCCAAGGATAAGGAGTACCTCAAGCTGGACGCCTGGCAGCTGGAGCCGTGCTGGAACGCTGTCCCTGGAGGAGCTGCGGTGCCTGCTCTGGAAACACACCCCCTCCACGGGGCACGTGGATGAAGTCTGGCCAAACCTTTACCTGGGAGACCTGTAAGAGAGAGGGAAGGGTTGAAGGTGTTAATGCAACTCTTAATTCACCCCATTTCTCTCTCACCCCCCAAGTCTTTCACTCTGTGGAAAGTAAGTCCAAGTGTTGAGCAAGCCTGGACTGTGCATAGGTTGCTGTAGCATAGAGGAAAGGCATCCGATCTGAAAAGAGTATTTCCTCTCCAAATTTCTCCTCATCCATTAGTAATTACAGAAGTCCCACACTACAAAAGCCTAGTGGGGCTGTGGCACTGGTACTGCAGGCCATCATGCCAGAAGTAGGTGAAACAAGATCAGCCTCATTTCTCCTCACACTAACAGGTGGCATCAGTCCCCCGAACTGATGTATGCTCAGCAGAGGTGACTTGTTGAGAAGGCAAACCAGAAAACTCTTGGCTTATGGAGAAATATCACAAGCACCAGCACCTTTTTATTTTTCATCAGTTGAGAAGAGCCACCTAAACTGGTGTTTGGGAGAAAACCACAGGAAATCTGCAAATCCACTTCTTAATGGGTCACTTCTGTCTTGAACCATTTTGGTGAACAGTTTGGACCTGATCAACCTGTCAGAAAATAGGCACTAGAGCTTCATGCAGTTTGTAACAAACTGCACGATCACCAGCATGTTCTACCCTTCATCATGCAGCAGGTGAATATAGCCAACTGTCCTTCTTCCAGGCACATCGCTCGTGACAAAGAGCAGCTGAGCCGAATGGGCATCTCTCATGTTGTGAATGCCGCTGCCAGGCGATCTCACATCAGCACTGGACCTGAGTTCTACAAAGACCTGCCTGTGGATTACTACGGAGTAGAAGCTGAGGACAACCCAAACTTTGATCTCAGCATTTACTTCTACCCAGTTGCTCAACACATAAAAGCAGCGTTGAATTCCCCAAGAGGTAACTAGACCATCTGTGCATGTTGTGTATCGTCTGCATAGGAGCCATGTAGGGCAAGTTATCAAATAGTATTTGGCATAACCACCTGCAGATACAGGTGAGAACACTTTTGTTTGGGTATCTCCCAAGTTAGCATCACACCTGCCTCCTGAACTCCCACAGAGCGGAAGTTCCCTTGTTCCCCTGAAACAGGGAAGGATGCACTGACAAGGCTTTCAAAGGGGCTTTCCATATCCCTAGTACTATTCCTTAGCAAAAAAACCCCACCAAAATAGCAAGTATGCTTTATTATCTCTAGGGAAACACTGACCTGGGAGGAGGCACATAGACTTGATCTTTTCAAAGTAGTGATGGGGTTTAAAATATAAGCTAGGATGTGGTAAAAAGAGAAGGGCAAGTAACATATTTGATTAAGAGTCAACTATAATGTTGTGCAAGCCCCACAAACACAGGATAGTGAAGAACTTGCTGGGAAGCAGTTCTGTAGAAGAGAACCTAAGCAACACCACCAGCCAGGAGATAATGCTGTTGCTACAGAGCGTATAACCTTGGAATAGGAAAAGAGCCTGCAAAAGCTTTGGACTCGCTAAACATAGGCCAGGTACAATACCAGAGGTGTGGGGCTAGTGGGGGATCATTACTGTTAAGGACAAACCTTGACAAAAGTAAGTCTCCACTGTGCCTCAAAACCGTACAGATACCCAGTCAGACGTGATTTAGTAAGAGAACAGCTGTGCACTCAAACTGTTTCACTTGCATCATAGTGAGCTTCAAAATCAATGAGAGTCCTAAACCACTAGCTACCCAGGTTAATTACATGCAGCTAGCAGAGCCGATCCATACCACACAAGCTAGGAAAGGGAGACACAGTAGCGAAAAATAGTGTGCCTCTGTGCTAGATGCCTCAGCTTTTACTGCTGAGAATTAGAAAGTATTTGCCTTTATGCAACTGAGGGTTACACTTGGATTTCAAAACCACTAACATGTTTGGGGAACTTGGATTGACACCCATTTCTGTTGCTATTTGCAACTGAAGAAATTATTGTTGGTGCTCCAGAGAAAGGTAAGATCCATATCTATTAACGCATGTATAAGAAAAAAGAAGTTCCAAATCAATTGGCAAAAGACAGAAAACACAGATGAATGCTGGTGGCCACAAAAGCAAACAAAACCAGTCCCTGGCAAGATGGTTGCCAAATACTGAAAGTTATGAGTGCAGAACAAGTTAGGGCTCAAGGCGTATTTATCCCTACTTCCATGCTTTTAGATATTACTTTACTAAACTCCATATGGAAGCGGGGTTCTCGGAATGGAGACAAGGTGAAATTCAATCATACGTAGTCCAGCTGTTGCTGACATTAATCATTTTAAGGGAAGTGCAACAGTTTAGAAAATATATAAACAAGATGTTCTGGAAGCGTAATTTCCTGAGCTACAGAAATTTAGCAGCTAAATACCCATGACCTGTGCAGGGATGAGACAGGGAGAGGATTGTTACTCACATCATTTAGAAGAAAAAATAGCATTTATTATAAGCAGTGATGCTAAACAAAAAATGATACCAGGTGACAAGAGGCCTGTTCATATTAAATTCAGGATGTAACAAGGTACTTCTGTTTGATTGAGAAGTCGTTTAAAACTGCTTCTTAACTATTACAAACAAATTCAACTTTTTTTTTTAATGGAATTAAATTATCTTTTTCACCTGGGAGGATAAGTCAAAGTTAAGACCGTATGAGGCACAAACATACTTAAAACTATGAATCAAATACTCGTTAGAATTAAGTAAGCAGCATTACTCCTATCGCACTTGAAGAAAAAATTCTGATGCCTTATACCAGAAGTCCAGAAAACAGCTTGGTCAGATTTATTGCAGATTTCCAGCTTAGCTGAACAGAATGTGTCTTTGGTGATATAAGGAATTTACTTTTAAGGCAATTTCTTCAAACCTGGATGCCAGAGCATGAGCAAAAGGAAGCAGAAGAGCACGCACCCACATGCTCCTGATTGGGAGCTATTTCTTCACAGTGGTCAGTGGCTGCCTCACACACTGAATGACTTCCTTCATCATCTTTGTGATACAGCCCTGCTGTTCCTTTGCCCACCTAACAGAGCTGTTTGGGAAGGCCCAGCCAAGAGCAAGCAGATACACAATCTGCCCTCTTCTCTGCAAGGAAATCACAGACAGGGAAGTACTGGCCTTCTCCCTCATGCTCATGCTCAAGGGGTAACGACTTGAACATCAATCTTGCCATTTTGCACAGCCATCTGTACCACCTGCATTTTTCTAGTGTGCAGCTAAACCTAAGCTTAAATCAGGAGGGTTTGGTAAAGTCTAGTGGAGGAGGGAGGGAGAGAGAACTTGAGAGCATACTTGAATGCACACCATGAAAATTACTAAACTAACACCATCCAGAGAGAAAGATTCTGAAGTAGACAGCTTCTCCTTTTACTGTCCTTCAAACATGTTTAAAACAGACAAGTTAAAATCGTCCATTAAATTCCTGAAATGGCAAACCCTCTCAGAGGCGTCGCCTTCTTCCACTTCACCAAAGAAAATGAAAAGCCAGGCTTCCTCTCCTGCTGCCTTCTTGGTGGTGGTGATTATGAAAGAACCTTAACTTAGAAGAAGGCTCCCCTCTCTTGACTCTGCTGTAGGAGTATCACGTACGTCAGTTTAACCTCCCACTCTCCAGCAGATGACAGTCCTTACCTGTTCCAGGAGGCGTAGGAAGAAGGGACACGACACCACTTAAATCTCTCTGTAGGCTTCTTGCTATTTTCAGCTGTGACACAATAGACACTTGAATAATCAAGAGAAAGACAATTGATTCTGCACCTGGCTACAGGATGGTGGCTAAAAGGTAACAGGAGATGAGAAAACCACAGTGGAGCAGGAAGAGCCCCTGGGGCTCTCCAGCCCACCTGAGCTCTCCTCCTGGTGAGCAGCATAATTCTGCTGGATTCAATGGAATAAGGGTAGCTGGGGTGCTCACTCCAGATGACAGATCTTGAGCCTGGTCTTATGCCAAATTGAATCCATGCTGCAATAAAGCAAAGGCTAGTTCAGGACATTTAGCTCAGTTAATGATGAGTGCAAAAGAACAATAAGATATTATGCGTTTTAATGACTGATTTGTTCAACAACATTGAATTTCCCAACTCGAATTTGGCCAACAAACTTGAATGTGCAAACTTTATCCCTAGTGCAAACCCTTTGATGTCAGTGGAGTTACAGCAGGCATGAGCTGGATATAATATCCATAATCCGTTGTTAAAAACCAAGTGTTATTGTTCTGCACAAATCCCAGGCAGATGACAGTTATTGTCTGCCTCTGCTAAATGTAGCTTGAGATGTGCGATGCAAAATTTCAAGTAAGGATTGCAAGATTTAATAATGCCAGAAGCTAAGTGCCCCCACTTCTCTTTAGTTAATCCCATTATTCCTAAGGGATCCTGTTACACGCTCGGAGAGAAGGTTGCAACACGGCCCTCTAATGTGGGATCAGTCCAACTTTTCTTTGCACTGTATGTTAAAACAAATGGGGACAGGGAAGGCACAGTTGGAGAATGCTGTGCTTGCGGCATAGATTGTGTGGTACAGAAGATGTGGTTATAACTTCCTTGCCCACCCCATGACAGGGGTATACACCACGAGTGCCTCTGTGAATGCTGCTTTCCCAGGCTGTGGTCCAGCAGTCACCCGGGAATCCAAGCCTCCCGTGAGACGCTGATGCCACACATGTTACCAAGCCCACTGCAGACAGCCCACATGGTGCAGACATGCTTCAGGCGCTCGTCAAATGCAGTATATCATGGTGGGTTCAGAGTGTCACTTAACCCGTCTACAGATACTGCTAAGAGACAAGGGCCTGAGCCTGTAAACAGAACCAAACAGCAACACAGCTTTTGTTTCCTGACTCAAGTTTAACATTCAGTTTGTTTGCTACAAATAACCACATAATAAATTCAAATCTGCTTTCATTAGAGCAATTTTACATTAATTAAATCATTTCACATGACTGATTTATCTGTAACAAACAGTCATTTTATTGTCAGTGTACCAGCATTTATTGTAACCTCTGTGCATGGTGAAACAAAGGCTAACAATGTGGAATAGATTCTGCATCTATGAAAGAGATAATATACCTGCATCCTCTTGGGAACCAGTGTCTTAGAGAGCCATGCAGATAAGATTCAAGGTCAATAGTTGGGGCTTGTCCAGCTGTTGATCTAGGAGAACTCTTCTGAAGTGAAGATAAGCAGAGATGCAGGGAAGAAAATTCAGTGTGCTCTTACTCACCACCTCCTCCTCCCCGATACAGAGCTAGATATAAACCATTAGAGAGCCAGCCTATACAAGCAAGGGCTTGGAATTCGTTCTGCTTTCTGTGCCCCTAACAAAAACACATCAGACAATACTTATCAGCAGCACCCTTATCTGTACTCAGCTCCATCTTCAGTTCCAGACTACAGGTGGGGCTGAGCATTTCCCAAGGCAGAAAGCTCCATCTGGGTGGAAAAAGAATGGACCCAAGAACAAATATACGGAAATGAAGTTCAGGACAAGTGTCCTGTCCCCTGTCCAATTTCCAGCCAAACGGATTCAATTTTGAAATATTTAGTGACTCAAAATCAAATCCAGCATCAAGACCATCCCTTTCTGGTTGTTTTTAGTTTGTCTCCCCTCCCTTCCTGGTGCAGTTGTAAGGTGTGGGTAGCTTAGAGATTTTCAGACAAGTCCCTGGCACTATGTTGCAGTCAGGCCTACTGCAGACTAGTGAAGCATGTATTTTCCAAAGACTTTTTGGTGCTAGCGTTATTCACAGTATTTATCAAAGAGAAATTCTGCTCCTGGTTTGTTTACCGGGAAAATCTCAGGCCTGGGTTATTTGGGTCTGAACTGCCTCCTCTGGGGAAGATAATTCAACATCCATATCCCAAGAGGCTGATGTGAAGGCTAATGAAAAGCATTGAAAGCACACTGAAAAAAAGCCTAGCAAAAATTCAAATTAGTATTATCTTTAGCAGGGGTGCAAAGCTTTTTCTCCACACTGCTATGAAAAGTAGAACTTCACTTCCAAGAATCCCCATGGAGTTAATGGCAGTAAAGGGTATCTCAGTAAAATCCTGTGAAGCTGTATCTGAATAGGAAAACACAAACAGAAATCACTTGATCTTCTAGTTCTGCAAAACTGACATGATGTTGGAAAACCCTTTTCCTTCCCCCAAAGGTTTTGATGCTCAGTCCAGTCTGCTGTCACAGGAGCTGTTTTCCCCGCTTCCTTGGTGACTATATTTGTCCCTTTATTTCTACCGAAGACATGTCTATCTTTAGGGCTGAGATCAGATTTCTCATGCCAGGATAATGAAAGGTGGCTGTGTCACATACATTGTGGAATTCAACACTTCCCTCAACCTGCTGGCCAGAGCAGGTTTTCACAACACATGCTCGTGCTCCCCGAGCATGTGGCTATGCCATCATCATTAGTCAGAACTGGAGCAGTTGCTAAATAAATACTCTGTCACTAACAAAATGGGATTTAAGATTAAAAGCTGGGCACAAAGTACCCAGAATTAACACCCAGGAAGATGGGGGCAATCAGTCTGAGGGTTTTGGATGGATCTAGGCTTATCATCCAACAAGGGTATTTTTGTCTCACTCACTGCTAATAGAGAAATTAAGATGCTGTAAGCACAAACAAAGCAAGGAATTAGCCCGGAAAAACTACCCGTTTTTTGTACCCTTCCTTACACTTTACAGAGAAGCAGCATCTGAGACCCTTTATTCCATGTCCAAAGGGAAAAAAACCAGCATGGGATATTACCGATTTTCACCTTTTTCTGGATATAAATTGTGTCGTTGTTAAATTGCATTTGCTGCGGCTTTACAGTTGGTAAATGAGAGACCACAAATGTGACAGGCTAAAAAAGTAAAGTTTAAAAAAAAAACCACAGAAAATCTTTGTTTCAGACTAGGGAAGGTTTCCAGTCAAAAGGGTTCTGATGTCTCCATGCTAAGACAATAACGTTTTCATTCAGCTGCCTTAATGGGTGACAGAAGTGTCCATTAGGTGGTCAGAAGTTCAAACCTGAGTCTAGTCTCTGTTGGTTTCATAATGCCCAATTGCTGAGATATGGGCTCTGTGAAAAGCCTAGATGTGACTGCAGAAAGGAAGGAGAGATTTTTCAGGCATGGCTATAATTGAGCAGAAAATCAGAACTCTCTTTTCCAATTAAAAATTTCTTATTGGATCATACCGTTTTTGTGAAGCTTGAGTCATTTCACAACGTGTACAAGATGCAGGTTTTCACGTTCCAGAATGAGCTCTTTGTTCACATGCAGAGGGAAAGAACTACAAACTTGATGTTTTCTTCTGACAAAATTTCCTTTAATTTCACGTAAGACCATTTGAAAAAAGTGTTTATCTCCTTCCAGCACAGGTCAGACACACATTAGACACCAGGAAGCAGTGATGATACAGAACTGCATTTCTCAGGCTGCTTCCATTAGCAATCACAGCAGAAAAAAGGAAAGCAAAGGAGACGGAAGGAGGGAGATATACTCTTACATCCCTGGAAGGTCTTCCCTGAGGCGCGCTCGCAGCAACATGGGAGGACTCATGGTATTACTTTTAATGAAGATCCAGACCTCACACTGAGATCTCTGGAGAACTGGAGGCATGTCATGAATTGTTTCTCTAGTGATCACCTAATACAGAAGGGATTAGGTGATCATTAGGCATTAGGGAAGCATAGTGACTAGAGGTGTGCAGGGTAGGCTATAAAAATAAAAACCCATGAGCTGATGCAAATGGCATATACAAAGAGGAATGGTTCTTAATGGTACACACTTCCAACAAGGCCTGGGCAGCAGTGAGCACCCTCAGAAAGCATAAAGCATTACTAACCTAAGCAAAGAACTAAAAAGAGCTTGGGGAAAAAACAGGAGTGTTCCTGTAATAACAGCAAGCACTCCTGAGCATTTACGAAATCCCAAGTTTCCAGGCCCACTGGCAGGAAACAACCCGGCAAGGCATGGCCTTCAATTATGACAACTTGAAACTTTGCAAGCAAGTACATCACTTCCCAAACCACATGTGCGCAAGCAGGGACACCATAGATGCAGGCTGGGCAGGAGGACAAGGGGCATGCCATCAGGCTGACAGATAAGCCCAAACATGGATCCTGGAATACAGTTATGAATGTTTTGTTCTCTGCCATTAAAAAATGCATCGTTCCCCAGCCAGCACTGCCCCAGGTCTGTTCTGCAGGGCTGAGCACACTGGTTGGCTCACTCAGCCTCAGTGTCAGCACCACTTCCATCTCTGCTCCAGCACAATAAACCCCACCATTAGGCCTCCTGGCATAAACCCATCTCTCTCTCCTTTTTTCCAGGCAAAGTACTAGTTCACTGCGGAATGGGAATCAGTCGATCTGCAACTCTTGTCCTCGCTTTCTTAATGATCTGTGAAGATATGTCCCTTGCTGATGCAATTCAGACTGTGCGCTCACACAGGGGGATCTGCCCCAACTCCGGCTTCCTCAAGCAGCTTTGGGAGTTGGACCTCCAGTTAGGAAGGAGGCAAGGCAGAAGAGCAGTGCTCTGCTAGTGCCAAGGGGACATGGCTCCTGGCACCATACTGAGAGATGCTGCCATCACTGAAGACAATGCAAGGATGCTGTCAAGACTACTCCATAGCTGCTGCACTGAGAAATACCCTGGGAGATGGCTGAGCATGTACAAGCTCATAGGAGTTTAGTATGTGTTTTTTGGATAAGCCTACTAATTAGAGAGAAAATGAAATAAAAAAGGATTCAAACTGGCAGTTTTGCACACCTGGGCCTGTTTATTTAACTACCTGTTGGGCAGGGCATAGGGAGCAGTTGGGTTTTCATGCAGAATTAAAAGGCACTACAGTCAACTTAAAAAAAGACTTTTTACTTGCTTATAATTGCATTTATAATGCAAGAGGGAAAACGGCTAAACTAGTAAAAGAAGAAAGCAAGCATGAGGGTTTTCAGCAAATCTTTAACATTTCACATCCAGCTGGCTTAGGGTGAGACTTCAGGTTTTGCAAGCTGACATGCTCCTTTAGTCTAACACAGTGACACTAGTCAGGATCCAGCTCAGACCTTGGGCTCCCACTGTTAAAAGCCATGGAGGCTCTTTCTGGGACCTCCACACGTCCTTTTATTTCAAATGTATGGCAAACACTAAGAACTTAAAAAGACCATGAAATCCTCAGGAGCCGACACTGGAGGTCCCAGCCAGATGCTGCACCCTGGGGCACAGCTATCACCAGCCTCACTGCTGGTCAGAGGGAAGGAAGGTGGCCCCTTGCAAAGCAGGGGGCACGCTCAGGGCACACTGCCCACTGGTGCACTGCAGGGCAGCAGCAGTGCCAGACAAACATCCTCCAGTTGGCTTGCAACCAGATGCTCCAAATCACATTTCCCCAAATTTCCCTGTTTTAATGGAAAACCAGAACCTAGTGTCATTGTGTCAGAGCAAAAATGAGCAATGCCTCTAACAAATCCAAAGCAGCAGCTCTGCATTTCAATTACTCTTTTACGCCCAATTGGCCACATTTAATCTTGTGAAGAACTCGAAGCAGATATTTGCTTCAGTGCAATTACAGCCACATACAGAACATTGGCAAATGCAAACAATATAGAATTTCCACTTGACGGCAGATTAATTTGGTGTGATGTTTTCCCTTGAGAGGTCTTAAAGGCTTGCAGTTCTGAAAGTACCCTGCAGTTTGTATTTATAGCACTACGGATGTTGAATAGAAAGAGAAAATCATATACTCATTCTGAACTGAAGTTTCTTTTGCCTCCATACATTAAAAAAATTAACTGAGCATAGCACACTTCCACTGCATTTCTCATAATGCAATATGGAAACATGATTTCCCTGCAGAGCCTATAGAGAAATTCACGTGGTGTTTCCATTCCTCTAAACATAGCAAGTAAAACACAAGCAATGCTACAGACTTATTTCCTCTCAGGGAACGGAGAGATGGGTCTTCCTTGCAGAAAGGGTCCCATCCCCTGAGGCTGAAGTAAGTGGCCAGAAGGGAGGTCATAGCTATAATGATGGAAAAGAAAGAAAAAAGAAAAACAATCAGTGAACTTATAGGTTTCACAGGCCTCTCCCTGGCCGCCACAGCAAGGAGATTAGATTTCAGTGAGCATGGTGGTGGAACCACTCCTGGCACTTGGGCCTCCTCCACCTTGGCCTGTCTGGGGATCATTTTTTATCGCAGACTACGCTGAAGCTGTTTTGCAAGTAGTCTTTTTTTAGTTGCCTTACTAATCGCTGCCTTCAAGTCTCTGTAACTGAGCCTATGCCAAGCCAAATGGCAATACATTAAAGCAGAAGGAGCACACAGCGGTCCAAAATCTCTCTGCACTGAGCCCATCAGGACAGGCCATAATTCCCAGCAAGCTGCACATCTGGAAACATCTGTGGTTGCAAGGTAGAACTTAAAGTGAGTAACTTCTCAGAGTGACTGAATCTACATTTACCCCAGCTGAGGCCTGCTGGCCACTGCAGGACTATTTCAGCTGCCCATGGACAGCCATAAGTTCCCCTGCCATGTGTGACTTGCAACTGGGAGCAGTAAGTCAGGATGGAGCTGCAGCCTGCTGGAAAAGCCAGGGCACTGGCTGATGGCTGTAATGTCACTGTTTTCACAGGTGTAGAGTGGAAGCTTCCTTCTTCAACCTGGAAAACACTGACCAAACAATGAAGAGCAAAAGGTCAAAACCACTGTCTCTAAGACGATAAAGTAGCTATTCAAGCCCAGGACAAAAAAAGTCCCTTTCTAGAAGATCCTGAGCTGGTTCCAGATTGCTGTGACGTTCAGACAATGGGAGGCAGGTCCCCCATGCCTCCTTGCAGTTTCTCCACCCTTCAGCAGATGAGAATATCTGAGCCCACCATCACAGGGACACAGAGGCAGGCTCTGTAGCTTATGACAATTAAGCAGTCCTAATTTCCAACCCACATGTATTGCACACTCAAATGGCTTATTGCCCTCGGGCTTAGTTAAAAAAGTGTCTTAGAATTACAGCTGGAGTCAACACAAAGAGATTGAAAACAATACTGGGGGTAGTTCCAGGTACATCTTGTGCTGCAATTTCAAGACCCAGAGTTGCTGACTTCTTGCAAGCCACCAGCTTGGCCCAAGAAACAAGGAATAGCTTCTTTCCACCACAGCCATCACTGCTAATAACACAGCATTTGGTCCTGGCATACAGCTGTCAATTTGCTAGTGCAGAGTCAGGCAGAAGAAGCCCCACTCAATCCCCTGCAGGTGTAGTGCCTCTGCTGTAATCACACTTGCCCAGTGCCATAGCTAAATATCACCTGCCAAAAGCAATGCCAGTTGAGGTTGTAGACCAGGTGGAAGTGATCAGAAGAGCAGATTCAGATGTATTAATGGACAGAGCAGCGTTGATGTTCCATGCTTCTTACCCAGCACAGAGCAAACTCTGAGGTTTATTTACACTTACCCATTGTGTGTGCTTATGAAGGAGCAACCTCCTGCACCGTGGTGGAGCTGGTGTACTTCCCACACAGTAAGCCTGCGAGGGAGGATGGATGTCTTAGACAAGGCACCTGGAGTTTCCTGAGCTGCAGCAGGATGTTTGGGGAAAAGCACAACAGGAGTGCTCTCCAGCCTCCAGAATTGGCATGAGAGCATGAGAGCAGTTTTCTCACATAAGATATCTTGCCTTCACCAGCTTTTCCTCCCAGACTCTCAGCAATGATAAATATAGAGGATATTGCTGCAGGCACGTCTGCACTGCGTTATTTATCCTTTGGATTTGCACTTAGGGTTTTATTTGTAAAAGGAAAGTGGGACCATAAATCTGCTCTGCAAGGAGCCAAGGGAAGAGAGGACAGAAATTTTCAGCAAGTCACATGGAAAAAGATGATGCCAATGATAGGTTTCCCATGAAAGAAATGTCAGCCAGGATACTTCCCAGGTACCCATGATGTGTAGTGGCAACAGCTAAGAGTGTCAGCCTATTTCTTGCAGGTGCATTAATTCATTCCTCCTTGCCAAAGTAGCTTTGGGGTTGCTGTAGCAAGGATGGCCCTCCTCTGGGACCTTCCTAATTCACAACTTTAGCCCTTTTTTATCTTGGCAAAGAGAGAAAGAGAGAGAAAATCTGAACTGGGACCAGAATAGACTTACAAAGCTGAAAAACTGTGTGGCAAAGACTGACTTCTCATGGTTGGGTACCAAGCCTAAGCTGACCCCATGACAGAGTAACCATTTTGTTCATGACCTTTAGCATACACATGACCACTCTTTGAGTACAGCACCCTAAATAACACACAGCACTTGCAGGTGAGGATGGAGGCAAGCAGGCTCACAGGCAGATCCCCTGGTCCTGTTACATTGGCCTGGTTCCACCTGAGGCAGTGACTCCCACTTTTGCTTCAACTTCAGCACTGCCCACTTTGTTCTGCATAACCCCGATGTCTTGATCAGATCTGCCCCGCTACTGACAGCCCCTCCAAATTACAAAGCACTGTCAAGTCCACCTGCCAGACGTAATCCTCCTCCTGTTATTTCTTTTCCGTGTTTTCCCAGTAACAAGGCTGATCTACACGTTACTGTGGAGAAAGGCTTATAGCTTGTGCTTTGCAAATGTACTTGATAGTCTAAGGTTTGAAGAGTATATGGAGCTCCTGAAGCCAAGTCAAACAGGAATCTAGGGCCTGTGAGGCTTTTAACAGTTAAGTTTTCTTTAGGCTACAATTACTTTGCTTAGAAACCAGACCCTTTGATCTGTTGCAGGAGGCTGCAGTTTAATAAAGTCACATAATTTGCTCTTTGCAATGTACTATTTGCAGTACAAGTATCATTGAGTTACACCACTCCCCCTCACTGCTGCCTCCTGGAACCTTGTCTGTTTATATACAAAAAGCACTCTCAGGAAGCAGTCCTAAAAATACCCGGCAATGTTAGCTGAGGACCTGGCTCTGCCTCTCCTCCTCCTGCTTGTGCCTCCATAACATCCTTCCATCATTTTCATGCTCAACAACCCCAGCTGTTCAAGCAACCTTATTCCTGTCTCACCGGCTAGAAAAATCACCCTCTTCCTTCCTCCTCTGCCAGTAGCCATTCTCCACCCTGCCACAGAACAACTTCCATGATGTTGCCATGTCGTGTCCCATCCAGTGCTTTTCACTTGATCAGTAAATCCTAGTGAAGCCCACATTGGCTTTACCAAATCCGTGATCATACCTATATGGCTCTGCCCACTTTTCAGGCAATGGGATGGTGCCATGTCAGGGCAAAAAGAGGACCAGAAAAAGAATAACATCTTTACTTTATAAAAGGGGCATCTGAAGACTGCAAAGCAAGATGCAGTACACTCCACAGATGAACTTCTGAAACCACTCTCAGGGAGGCTACAATGGAGACAAGGATTCTCCCCATGGAAACACCATTGTGAAGAAAAGTATTTTCACGGTAGTACAAATAGAAAATTTGCAGGCAAAAATCCAGCCAAGTGACAAAGACACCAGTTATCGAACTTCAGGTGAAATTCAAAAGCAGGTCTGGGATTCAGCTCCCATTTCCCACCTGTCTGTGGCCCAAGATGTGGGCAGAGCCTCCACTCACACAAGATGCCACCTGCCATAGGGTGGATAGGGTCTTCCAGTTGCTGAGTCTGATCCTGCTTGTTGCCAGTCATCTTCATGATCACAAAGATCTTCTAGTGCACTCTGCAGGCACCCAGCACACACCGAGATACAGCAGCACAAAGGATCCTTGATCCTTCAGTTTGCCCATACATC